TTTCAATTACATGCATGAATTCAAGTTGAAAAAATTTAAGAAAAACACAAAGACTACAATACAACCCAATAATGAATTTAGCCCTGTCATTTACTAGATTGAGGATATTTTTCCCACTATTTTGACATCCTGTGTAATTTAATGTAATTCTGTTCAACACTGTACAGTTCTCACTAGTGGATATTTCTGTAAAAACGTCTAATAAAGCAGCTAGGTTCTGCTCCACTGCAATGGGCTAAAAATGGTCACAGCTGGAATTGGCTGTCTGTCATTTAGGGGATTAAGATGGTCATTCTTCCAAAGTCAGTTACTGCTCTTTATTGCTTATCATTATTTTACCATTTTAATATTTGGATTGATGCATATCTTTTATTCTGCATTATTTTAATTTATTTTACTTGCTTTGCATGATTTTTTTTTTCAAAATTTGGTCTCTGACCATAAATGAATAAATAAAAATTCTGTGTAAAGAAACTACAATTTTGCAAACTAAACTAATACATTGTGAAGAGACAAACCTAAAATAGTTTGGCTCACAGGTGCCTTTTGGTTCCTGTAACTGAAATTCTTTGATGTAGCACCCAAAGGGACAAAAAATAAATGAGAGGAAAACACCTTCAGATTTAATCTGTTAGACATAAACAGCTGTCTTGGTCTTGGACCGTAAATAAATATAGAGACATAAACAACTGATAGTAGCTTATCTCATAAATGGCAACTCAATCCAAGCTGCAGAAAGCATGGGAAGAGATTCGAAGTATCCAGAGACTCACCAACAAATGAGGGATGGGACTTCTATTGAGAGTTTCCAAAATACTGTACTTTAGCCCTATTCCTTGCATTCAAATACCTTCCTGACATCTGTATAATTCTTGCTTTCTTGATCGTGTCCCACAATTAAAGCTTGATATTAACCTAAACGTCTCTCACCAGAACAAGGGGCTGCTTAAATGATGTACACAATTAATGACATATGAACATTACATTCAAAGGAATTAAACACTTTGCTATGTAGAGAAAAAGATTTTGTTGGAAGCTCAGAAACAATGTGATATTCCTGATGTAGGCTTCTCTTAGATGACAACTTCATCACCGTGTTCTCCTATTAGCATTCTATAAATCAATGTTGTCCAAACTTGGCCACTTTGAGTGGACTTCAACTCCCAGAATTCCCCAGCCAGC